CTACACTTCATCGTGGGGGGGGAAGGGGGCACGCGTAGCTGGTTAGATTGGGGTCTCTCTGTCCCCCTCTCTCTAGTCTTTCTCGCGCCTCCAGCTGTATAAGAGCACAGGTAAGTACCGGCCCTGCGGGGCCTTTCAACCAACAAGTACCCTTGCGGGTCACACACACACTCAGCCGACAAGCACTCAGACAGGCATGCAAACCAGCAGGCACGCACACACACACAGACATGGAAACCACAGCAGAATGCGGGAATCTCAGCAAGGCATTCATTCCAGCGGCAAATCCCAGAAATCAGCAGTGTTCTCAGTCTGTGTTTTTGACGGGTCATTACACCTACACTACGATGATGCAACCAGGAAAACTTCAGCAGTGGAACTGATGCACATGAAGATGTTGCCCATGCCAACCTCCACGACACACCAGGTACCTCTCCACTCTCCCAGACTCACTCGCTGAGTGTCCCCTCACAGGCTTACGACCATGCCCAAGGACCACGACCAACCCCACTGGTTTCCAGGCACGTATGGCCAGGCTATGGCTGACGTGCAGCACTGCATCCAGCTGCACCAGTGTGCGATACCAGCTCTGGCGAAGGTGCTCCTTCATCGTGTGCTCCAGCGGGGCTCACGCAGCATGCACGAGCCAGAATGTGTCTCGACTGGTGCCAGCACTTTCCCTTATGGAAAGTGCACGCTGCCTGGACCCTGCCTTGGTGGCCTGTGTGGTTCCCAGTAGCTTCACGTCCAGGCCCAGTATCTGTGCCCCGGGCCTTTCTTGAATGGGCCCTGGGCCCCGTTTGATTGGAGGGCTCAACTGCCCGGCGTGGCCCTCGCTGCACACTGCTTCCTCATTGGCCGAACGGCCTCTTGCCAAGCCGCAAGCAGCAAGTGCCTCACCTGCCCTTGATGCCCCGTCATACTGCCTCGGCCTGGCTTGTACTCAAACTGCCCCACACTGTGTTGTAACTGTTGGGCGTGGGGTCAGGGCACGGGGCTCGTCACATAGGGCCCCTGCGGCCTTTTTCCACAACCAGCCTTTCGGCTGGGGCTGTGTTCGGGATCTGCCGAGGCCATGAAGCCGCGCGCCTTGCTGGGCTTTGGGGATATTGATAGACAGGAGGATAGAGCTCAGGGAAGAACTTGCTCAGAAGTAACTAGGTGAGCGCACCATCAGTTGGTGTGCTTGATGCTGTGTGAAAGGTAACATGTTGCTTCTGTTTGCTAATGATTGTTTGCGGTTACTGTGGGGCTTTTGTTCCAGTTATCGACAACACAGTTAACTGGATGAAGAAACTGCCTGGTCAGCAGCAGGTGTTTCGTGCGAAATTCTCAGCCATCAGTGCCTCTGACATTCGGGCAGCAATGAACAATCTTGGTCAACCAAACAAGAATGAGGCGCTGGCTGTTGATGCACGACAGGAGATTGATTTGAAGGTTGGTGTTGCTTTTACGCGTTTTCAAACACGTTACTTCCAAGGGAAATACGGCAACCTCGACTCCAGCGTGATATCGTGAGTTGGACTCTCCTCTCTCATCAATTTCTTTCTTCTTTCTGTCCACTTCCCCTTGTCAATTCACTCAACTGGTTTTTCAACTGCTTCTCACACTCTTCATGCCTCTACGTACTGTGCCGTTAACTGCCAACTGCGACACAGCGTTCGATTGTTTTCCAACTCGGTTATGTTTGATGTCCACCTTTGTCGATTTGTATGTGCCATCCTTGGGCAGGGTCCATGGTAATCTTCTCTGTATGGTTACAATGTTTTTTTTCCCTTCTTTTTCCCCCCCTTTTAATGACAATGGTCTTGAGATACCATCATTGTGGACTCAACTTATTTTATTTGTCCAACCGTGTTGTTGGAGACACCCAAATTGACGAACTCAAGATAGGGACCACCACCTGTCATGAAAGGGGGTCACTGGAAGGACCAATCCTTGAACTGACCAGCCCCAGGTAATTAAGAATTCTTTTATTCTGTCCATCTGCATCTGGATTCAAACTTGGGTGTCTATTTCAACAGTTTCATTGTTACCCCCTGAGGTAGGCCCATCAGATATAGTTACAATTATAATGGATGCCCTGAAGGACTTAATCAGGTCTACCTTGCTTTGTTCCCCCACTGTGCATCCACCTGACTTGGTTGTCCATTCTATATCACTACCTTCAGATGCCGCATACATTGTGTTTGGCATTTTGCAGCACGTTGTATGAGTGGCCAAGTTGCTCCTTTGGTATGCAGGGCTAGTTATTGCTGGCTTTTCGTGTGTGGTGTTTTTGTTTTCTTTGTGATCTGGACCGACAGGCAGGCAGACAGACAGAGACAGGCAGACAGACAGACAGACAACCAGCCAGACAGGCATACCGACAGATAGATAGACATACAGACAGACAGAAAGACGGACAAACAGAGAGACACAGAGACAGAGACACGGGGACACAGACAGTTACAGAGCGAGAGAGAGACAGACGGACCGACCAACCGACCGACCGACCGAACGGCCGGCTGGCAGGCAGGCAGGCAGGCAGGCAGGCTGACTGACTGACTGATAGCTAAATGGAGAGATGGACAGATAGATGGTTAGAGGATGGACTGATGGGCAGCAGGTGATCGGTTGGGCGGGTGGGTGAGCGAGTGGGCAAGCACAGGAGCAGATGGAGGAGTCTGCCGGCCGGCAGGCAGGATGGCTGGATGTTTGGATAGGTGGAGGCATGGATTGATGTAGGGATAGATGGACAAGAGGGAAGTTGGAGGTGTAAATGGAAGGACAGGTGAATGGATAGATGGATAGATAGATGGATAGATGAATGGATAGATGAATACACAGGTTAGATAAGACATAGGACAAAATAGGTAAAATAGATTGGATAGATTGGATAGATTGGATGGATGGATGAGATGGGACAGGAGGGAAAGGAGACGGGAAGGGATGGAAAGGGAGGGGGAGGAGACGGGAAGGGATGGATGGGAGGGAGGGATGAGATGGGTGGATGGCATGGGGCTGCATGCAAGAATGAGGACTGGTATTCCCTCTGGGTTTAAGTACCAGCTGCAGAGGGCCTGCTGGCCCTCCTTTTGGTTTTTCAGTATTTGGTTCCGACTGCACCATTTCAACTGTGGAGTGCCTTGGGTCTCTCCCAAACTTCAGTTCGAGCCACATCGCTCCGACTTTTGGGGTGCCTCGAGTCCCTCCAGAAAGCATCCCCCATGAGAGACCTGATCAGGATGCCATCTTTCTTGCAGTATGCTTGCTGTCATCCATTCCCATTCTGTTGGTTTCTCATTGCCTTGACGTTACTCGTCATTTGGAGTCTGTGCAGTGAAGTAGGTCATGTGAATCTGAGTTCTGCTTTCCCTTCAGTCGTCATATGATGACAAAGTGATGAACATTCTTGATGAATGAATTAAAGCCATTTGTCATTTACAATGATGCACCATGGTTTTCATTTCTTGTTCATATGTCACATCAGGTATGGGCCCTGTCAAACACCCACACTTGGGTTCTGCGTGCAGCGCCATCAAGAGATATCTATGTTCACGCCCGAATCATTTTGGGTTGTACGGCCATACATCCAGAAGTCAGGATTTCGAGTAGAGCTGGAGTGGGAGCGAGGACGGGTGTTCGACAAAGAGGTGAGTGTGGATGCAGTCCACAGTGTTCCTTCCGTCAGGCCTTCAGTGCTCAAGGCTGTTGTTTCTATTGCTGAGTCGTTGGGCTTCAAGCCTAGCAGCTTGATTGCCCTGAAAGAGAAGAGACACCTCGTTGTGCATCAGTACTTCAGGCTTGGAGTACTGTTACATCAGGCCTTCAGTGCTCAAGGCTGTTGTTTCTATTGCTGAGTCGTTGGGCTTCAAGCCTAGCAGCTTGATTGCCCTGAAAGAGAAGAGCCGTTGTGCATCAGTACTTGCTTGGAGTACTGTTACATCCGTACTGCTCCTTGGGGTCGCTTTTCGGTGATTGTTTGATTTGTGTTCCCCCCAGGGATTATCAGCAGTGAAACAAGGGTACCTGTTGCAGCTTCGCCCGCAAGAAAATGAAGGGAAAAGGGTGCAAAAGAGGGTGGGTAGGGGTTTGTTGGTCGGGTGTGGGTTTGGGTGAGGTCGGGATAGTTTTAGGCTCACCTGTGCATTGTTGTTGACACTGCCGATGGAATGCTGCTGCTGCTTTGTAAGGCTTGGATAGATATATATTTTTCTCTTTTTTTTGCTTTTTTGTCCTGTCAAACACCTGATCACAGTTTGCAATCCTTTCAGTTGTGGTTTGCTGGGTTGGTGGTTGTTCGGATTTGAACTCACCTATTGTGTGTGTGTCACACTTTGCATACATGTCTCCCGCTAACCAAAAATATTATTTCTCAGATGTCGGGAGGTACGCAACTCTGTGATCCTGGGG